CAACTACCAGAAAAGCCTCTTTTTATACGGTTTTAGCCCCCCCCCCCCACTTTTTTTAAGACCCCCCACTTTTCTCAACGCTCCGCGGTACCTGAAGACCGTTTTTGAACACCCTAGACAAATAAGCACTGTAATGGTTTCCTTACAGCACCATCGCAGCGACTCAGTTCCAGCCAACAGATGCGCGCCGGGCCTTCCCGTGCTTTGACGAGCCAGCTTTGAAAGCTACGTTCAATATGTCTTTGGCCCATGACCCTGCGTTCATTGCAATCACAAACATGCCGAAGATAGATACAGAAACAAAAGGTGCATTCGTCCTGGACAGATTTCAAAAAACTGTTGTGATGCCGACTTATTTGCTTGCGATTGTCGTGTGCGACTTTGGGGAGAAGCGTATGGTTTCAACTAGCGGAGTCAATGTAAGTATGATTATGATTATGCTCAGAAGTGAATTATTCGCGATGTCGTCAGTACGAAATTCATATTGTGAGGGGGGGGGGGGGTGAAGTGGCTGTCCATTGCATTACTTCTAATTCAGAACACCATTATAAAGGATGTATGGTACAGTTTCATAATTCCTGGCGGCTTCAGGCCCACCCAGCCCCTGCTTCCGACAGCCTTGTAATAGGTGCGGACACTTAGTCAAATATTGGGAGGGCAAGCCTATTGTTTAATAGGATGACGTCACATTTTTCAATTGTTTTAGAGCAAAATACTATTATTATCCAAAGTTTTGGGGGCGACTGCCCTCCTCGCCCCCCCTCTTCGCCCCCTCGTCGCCCTCCTCGCCCCCTTGTCGCCCCTGCTCATCCCCTCCTCGTCCCCTGCTCATCCCCTCCTCGTCCCCTGCTCATCCCCTCCTCGTCCCCTGCTCATCCCCTCCTCGTCCCCCAGGTTTTCGCCACTGCCTTGTATAATATCTTTCGTCGTTATCATGTCTATGGAAGATCATCGAACATTTGATTTCAGATGACATACTATGCGCCAAAAGACCAAGTCGATCAGCTTCTGTACGGCTCAGATGTTGGAACAAGAATTCTTCCCTATTTTGAGGGCTATTACAACATCTCTTACCCTTTGCCAAAAGCAGGTAGGTCTTCTGGCATTTCTACAGTGACATCACTTCAAAAAAATTTTGAGTTACTTAGGATAACTACGAACTATTTTCAGATGATTGTGATCCGGTTTCAGATTATCTAGATCCAATTTCAGATGCTCATTACCCAGTTGGATTATTTTGATTCAAGTTCAGATACTCGTCATCCAATTTTAGGATTTTCCTGATTCACTTTTAGATTATAATCACCTTGTTGCTTGCAGGTTATAGTGACTCATTTTCGGATTATCCTCATCCAGTTACAAATTCTCATGTTTCGACTTAGAATACTTTTCATCCAGTTTCGTGTAATTGTTTTTCAGATAACATATACTCTTCTTCTTCATCAAAGTAATCGTTTTTCAGTTTACGATTTTCAGATCACCTCAGATTACAAGACTGAAATGTGCAAACAATCTTTAGGTGGTACAAAACTTGAAAATGGCTTTGAGAAAAGCAAACATTTAGTAAACTAAAGCTTTTCGTCTGACACTCTTCAGAGTTTAAAACGTCAGAACATAGATCGAAAACTCTACGCTAGGAAATATATATACCCAGTTGTGGATCGAAATAGGCCAATCAGAAACACGAGCACATGACTGTTGAGGTTGACCAATCAGTGCCGCTTGCCTATTGAGAATGTTACCAATGGAGTCCTAAGGTGAAAACGAACTCCTTTTGTATATATATATATATTTACTAGCGTAGAGTTTTCGATCTATGTTCTGACGTTTTAACTCTGAAGAGTGTCAGACGAAAAGCTTTAGTTTATTAAATGTTTGCTTTTTTCAAAGCTATTTTAGACTGAAATATGATTTTTGCATTCCAGATATGATTGCCATACCTGATTTTGCTGCTGGTGCTATGGAGAACTGGGGTCTAATTACATATCGCGAAACAGCGCTGTTGTACTCACCAGGGAAATCATCGGAGAGTAACAAGCAAAGAGTTGCTGTTGTTGTATCTCATGAGCTTGTTCATCAGGTATGAATCTAAAGCTAATCTTATTCAAGATTGAGAAAATCTAAATTGAAACCTGAAAGGCTACGGTGGATGCAGTAAGTGTTCTCGAAGTACAAATATTTTCACCATGATTTAGCAAGGCTTGAGCTTCAAAATACAAATTGTTGAAACCACGTTATGTTAAAACACATTATTCGTTATGTTGAAACCACATTGATAGCAAAGTGGTGTCGGAGGATTTACCTTCATTTTTTATAAGAAACTGGCTATAAGAAACGAGTACTGGACAGTCAGAAAAAATTAAAAAACTTCAGTATTCGAAGCAAAAAAATTAAGATACTATACTAAATCGTGACAATACTGATAACAACGAAATTTTGTAAAATCCAAGAACATGTTTGCCCAAGAAATTTAAACACAAGGGATAAAAATAAACTTCCAACGTCTAAATACAGCATCAGAGCAGAAGTGAATCTCTTAACGTGCTAAAAAGGTGACGAACATTTCATAATATGATTCATGACATCATAATTAAGAAATTCTTAAGAAACAGTGAGTATTGAAATTTCCAGAACATTAAGAAACTGGAGTACTCAACATCGACCAATATTTCTTATTAAGAAAAATGAGTGTAAACTGAAAGGTCCGTACAATATAGCAATTTGCTACTTCTAGTTAAATATCGTTAATCTGGGTTTACTTTACAGTGGTTTGGAAACCTGGTTACTACAGAGTGGTGGTCAGATCTCTGGTTGAATGAGGGTTTTGCAAGTTACGTCGAGTATTTTGGAGTTAACTATGTGGAACCTTCATGGCGCATGGTTTGTATATTTCTATCCGTACTGCAAATATATTATATTATAAGGAGTTCGTCTTCACCTTAGGAATTCATTAGTAACATTCTCAATAAGCAAGCGGCACTGATTGGTCAACCTTTACAGTCATGTGCTCGTTTTTCTGATTGGCCTATTTCGATCCACAACTGGGTATATATATTTCCTAGCGTAGAGTTTTCGATCTATGTTCTGACGTTTTATACTCTGAAGAGTGTCAGACGAAAAGCTTCAGTTTGACTCAAAACGTTTGCTTTCTTCAAAGCCTTTTTCAATATTTTTGTACCACCAAAAGATATATTATTGCCTATCATATATAATAAATATTATATTTTCATCATATAGTTTCTCTTTTATCTTTTTTCTTCTGTACTAAGATTTTTGTCATACATTTTATATTTTATATGGTACTTTTTATCTTGTATTTTCTAAACTATATATCTAAATATATTTCAATTATATATTTTCAATTTTAAAATGGCATTGAAATTCTTCTGAGTATGAAAAGTCAATTGAATTTGTCACGAAATGTCTGTGATGTGCCCGTGAGCAAAGTTTCAATCTGTTCTCTGTTCAAATCGTTATAAACAGAGCCAAAATAACCGAGATTCGTCAGCAAAATTGAAACTTTTCATCAGCCTTCTCTAACCATGACAATCAAGTTAATCTGGTGGCCAATTAATTAAACATTAGAATGAGCAACCATGTTGGGTGCCACTTGATTGAAAGTTTCGTTAGGGCTCTAAAGGCATTTCTACACGTATAATCGGGTATCAGAATTTGCAAATTATTAGTTTCTAAACAGTGTCTGATATATACCGGATCGATAAAAAACAGGTAATTGCCCATGGTTTTAATGCTATATGGAATGTATTGCTCTATTAAGACCACTTCGGATCGAGTCTCGTTCCGAGCACATGTACTCTGTCCAGTCCGCGTAGTATCAGTTGGTTTTCCCTTTGTTTAGGTCACTTGACTAAGGTTTCTTTATGTCCTTTGCCTAAGTCCGTTTACTTTATGTAAATTGTCTTGAGACTTAACTTCCCAATAATTCTAGTCCCGCGTGTATTCTTTATTCTTTAAAGATTTTAACGGGGCTTAAAGCGCCTCGTGGGTCTGGTTCCACTCACACGCTTATTGATTGGCTAATATTGATTGACAGGTAGCCTAAGCCACGCCTTTTACAACTCCAAACTGATTGTTTTGTCGTTCCCGATCTCAAGATTAACGTTTTTTACATTTTTTTATCCCTCCAGCTTGAACAGATTGTGATCAACGACCAGGCCTCTGCATTCGCAGCTGACGCATTAGTGACGTCACATCCGATTTATGTTCCTGTCAATCATCCAAATGAAATCAACGAAATTTTCGATTCAATCTCATATCAGAAGGTTTCCTTTGTTTAATTGCTTTTTCTCATTTCCAATACTTGAACTCTTGAAACGTTACGAGTGGACCGTGCCTGTCCTTGCAAACTAGCCATGGATATTTCTTTCAGGAGCCTTCAGATTTCATCCAGTCGCTGCTCTTAATTTCTTCTCCCCTTGTCTAGCCCTTCATTTTTTTCATCTTTTAAACAATGTGACTAATAAAGTTTCAAATGTGTTCTCGGCAGAGAGGTTATGAAGGATGTTAGCGGAATCACGTTTTAAGCATCAAGACAAGGCCATACAATGTGTGAGTCTTGTCAGTAAGGAGCACTCCAGTAAGAAAATCTGGACTCTTGATCTTTAGGTATACCTGCATCTGGGCTTCCCGTATCTTCGCGTACCCTTAAATGGGCGCTCTCATATCTGGAAATTTCTGTATCTCGACACTCTCGTATCTAGGCATTCTCGTATCTTGAGATTCCCGTATCTTCACGCGTATCTGGGCATTCCCGTATCTTGACATTCCCATATTTGGGCATTCTGAGCATCCCAATATCTGGGCATTCTTATATCTAGGCATCCCCATATCTGGGCATTCTTATATCTAGGCACCCCCATATCTGGGCATTCTTATATCTAGGCATTCCCATATCTGGGCATTCTTATATCTAGGCATCCCCATATCTGGGCATTCTTATATCTAGGCATCCCCATATCTGGACATTCCTATATCTAGGCATCCCCATATCTGGGCATTCTTATATCTAGGCATTCCCATATCTGGGCATTCCCATACCTGGGCATTCCATATCTGAGCATTTCCGTACTGGGTATTCCATATTTGGGCATTCCCGTATCTGGACCTTCCCACTCCTTGTAACCCGACACAATAACCTCATTTTTACACCTTTTTATGATAGTAATATTAATGGAAAGAAATCAGTTGCCCGTTTGATATTATTTCCACCAATAAATTTTAGGGATGTGCAATATTGATGATGTTGGATAACTTCTTGGGGAAAGGCATCTTTCAAAAAGGATTAACGGTAAGATTTTGAAAGTTTGAATCACAATATTGTCATGGTAATTTCATTGTAAAATTTCTCTAGTTTTTATCATTGTTTTTCAATCTTACTTACTTTTGCTAAAATTTGGTATCGGCTACTGATTTAATACATCCACGTTGTTAAAGGCACAATGTTCCAACGAATTTTGATAGCCATTTAAATTTACTATTGGTTGAACTACACAATAGGCCCATTGTTACGTGTCCAATCAGGCTTGTACTCAATGTTTGCTCAGTCATAAACACAACGCAGAGCCTAATTGTTAACTGATGGGACACAGTGCCTTTATATGAAAGCTAAAGTGCCTACATTCCCAATTCAATGAAAAAGTGATGCTACATTTGAATTCAACGTTATTAAATTAATTCTGTTTGGCTTGAAATGTCGGTTTATTTCCAATTGATCGGCTAAACGTTCTACTAAGGAAAAGAGACAGAAAGTGCTTGTCGATCTTCCTTTGAAGAATCTGTCAACGCCTTCATACACAAAAATGTTTAACCAGAGGCTCTAGGATTATTATGTGTAGGTCACTCTTAGGAACAGCCAGTTTAAACTGAAAAACAAAACTGAAAGAGGCTTCTGCTTAAAGAGAAGATAAAATATGCACAAGATTTGGTAAAGCCTTGAGTACCAAGAGCTACATTGCTATATATATAAAGGCATTGGGTCATGATAAAATGGATTGGGTATACCCAAAGTGCCAAAATCCTTTAAAAGCTAACAAATTAATTGACTGCTCTTACCAAACATTTCCTAGAAGAAGTAACATGAAACTTGGGTATTGTATATTTCATAATTATTAATCCCTCCCTCCTTGAATTTTCCCTCTGTCCAAGCCTTTCTCCTACTCCCCCAACCTTTCATCCTCCCTCGATGTATTTCTCATCCCCTCGTTGTCTTTGTCCCTTTCTTTCTATCTTTCTCCCTCCCTCCCTGCCTCCCACTATTTTCCCTCCTCCCTTTATCCCTTCCTTTCCCGCCCTCTCCCTACCTCCCAACCTACCACTCATCGTCACTACAGTCACCTGTATCATTTAAGCAATTCTCAAGCAAACATTTATCTTTCATAGAGCTATTTAAACAAATACAAGTTCGGAAATGCAAAAACAGTTGATTTGTGGGACTCATTGGCAGAGGTTCGTATTGCGTGCGAATTTGTTTTTCCATTCTAAGCAATGCACGAGTTTCTTCCATTTGCCAATTTCACGTACCTGGTTTAAGTACCAGCCATTTTTCCCCTTTTTGGCATTTTCCTCCACGTGGATTCGACAATTCACATCCTAAAGAGATTGATAGCTACTGTCAAGGCAACATCGGATATCTCACGAGCCACTTCTTACAAACTTACTGTAGTCAATATCTTACAGTACACGGAAAATTTCTATTTGCCTGTCTCTAATATATTGTTTAATGCCGTTTAAATAGAGCTGTACCCTTTATCGTGTATTGCACAAGCTGTGACCAATAATTTCATTCTTAATGGAACCACTGAGCAGCTGTATCTCTTTGAGTTTCTTGTTCAATACTAGTTTCATATTTATTAGATTAACTTCTTATCCTAATCAGTGATGTAATGCTATCAAAAAAGCAAGGGGGGCTCTTCCACATAATGTTTCTGAAAAGCAATAGAAGAGATTGCCAACTTTCGGCATCAACAAAGGGGGCCCAGCCCCCCCCCCCCCCCCCCCCCCCCCCCCCCCCCCTGAGTTGCGGTTTTAATCCCTTGGTAGGCAACCGACAACAAAATGGACGTCAAAGGATGCCGATTGAGCAGAGCTTTATCCACTTTTTCATATAGAACAAGTTGCAACACATGGCTACTGTTGTGTGGATCTTTTCTGTATGATCACCTTTTCATTTCCAAAAATTCATCGAGAATAAGCTTTGATTCCCCTGTTTAAATAGTTTAAAGTCCTCCTGCATCTGCCAATTTCCTCCCATCAAAAATATCAGTTTAAACCCACGTTCGAGTCATTTTGTGTCCGGTTCAACTAAAGGCGGTTTCAATCCCACGATAGGCAACCGGCAACAAAATGGACGTGAAAGGAATCATGAACACGTGGACACTTCAAATGGGCTTTCCCGTTGTAACCGTTTACAAAAACGGGACAGTCACGCAGAAACGATTCTTACTGGATCCGAATCCGGATTATTCCAAAGAAAAGTACAATTCATCGTACAAGTAAGTTGCCTCATTGTTCCAGATTTACAATTAATCTTGCAACTACGACAAAGAGAGATGGAATTCTAATCTTCAAAGTAAACCTTTCTGGAGTTCTATAATCCGAATTTTTTCGAGGAAAAATGCAATTTATCTCACGATTATCCAAAAGAGAGACACAATTTAAACTAGATACGATTATGGAAAGGAGAAATTTAACCTTTCTATTGATATATAATAATGCGGATTATTCCAAGGAGAAATAAAATAAATTATACTAGTAACACTTTTTGTATTTATTGATTTATTCAGACTTGAATCAATCAAGTTAATCGCTTTGTAACTCAAAGATCGCATCTGGTAATTGCACACAAATAGTGCCAGATTAATGGTCCATTCTCTAAGCTGTTGCTCATATTTGTCCCATCATACCAAAGAAACATTTCAAAACCTTTCTTCACTTTTGTATTTTATTGTATTGTTTTGTTATATTGTACTTTTCTTTTTCTATTGTTTTGTTAAGTACTTTATAGTATTGTATTGTATTGTGTCTTATTGCATGGTAGTGTATTGTGTTGTATTGCATTGCAGTGCATTGTAGTGAATTTATTTGTATTGCATTACATTGCTTTGTATTGTAGTGTATTGTATTGTATTGTATTGTATTGTATTGTATTGTATTGTATTGTATTGTATTGTGTTGTATTGTGTTTTTTGTATTGTGTTGTATTAGATGTATGGAATACAATTACTTTGTACTGTAATAAACAATATTCCATTGAAATCTACAGTATCATATTGAAATATACTGCCTTGTTCTGTATAGCAATTTGATATTTATCATTTTAGCTACATCTGGCAGATACCGTTCCAATACCAGACTTGTCCCAAGACCGATGGTTCAAATTGCACTTTGAAGCCTATTAAATGGATGAACACTACCACTGGTACAAAAATATTTATTGACCTATCATAAAATGCCAGAGTTAAAACTATGATTTGTGGGGTTGAAGTGAAGTCTCAAGGAGAATTCAATGCTACAGGTCCACATCTCCAGCTTCTCTTTACCTCTCTGTGACTTTCTGTTAACTGCAAGAAGCATTTCATAATGCAAGTATTTGTTTGTCTCTTATTGCCCGGGAAACATTCTCTAGAGAAATCCATTGTCTTGCCTAAACTTCAGCAGCTGGGTGGGTTTTCATCCATTCACCAAATCAATCACTTATTCAGTCAGACATTCGATCACTCACTCACTCACTTACTCGCTCAGTCACTCACTCACTTACTCACTCAATCAACCTATCGCCCAATGGCCAAATCGCTCATACACTCATTTCATCACTCGCTCATTCACTCATTAATTTCCTCGCTCACTCATTCAATCACTCAACCAATTGATCCCTCGTGCTCTCACTCATTCACTCACTCACTCATTCACTCACTCATTCACGCACTCACTCATTCACTCACTCACTCAATCACTCACTCGCTCACTCACTCACTCACTTACGCAATCGCCTTATTTGCCCAATCGCACTTGTACACTCGCTTAATCACTCATTAATTTCCTCGCCCAATCAATCAATCAGACACCCAATCACTCGATCACTTATGCATTTACTTAATCATTCACTCACTCATTCACTCAGTCACTCACTGACTCACTCATTCACTCACTTACCCACTCACTCACTCACTCACTTACTCACTCACTCACTCAATCACTCACTCACTGACCCATTCAAAGGTACGTTTTTCAATCATTCGATAATCAATTTGATTATTTTTATTGCTAGTTTAATTGTTTTATCAATCATTATCAATCAATCATAATAGACACGATCCAAGCAGCTGGAACGAATTTCATCAAAGGAAACGCTGGACAGTTTGGATTTTATCGAGTCAACTACGACTCTGCTGGATGGGCCGATATCATAAACAAGATGAACAGAAGCCGGAATGTGAGTTGTCAATTATCAAATTTTTATCATGTACAATATTTTTTTATTTATGCATTATTACATTATTATTACAATACTCCATTCCAAGTTCAAGTTTAAAAAAAAGGTCATGGTTGGGGAAAAGCAGATAGACAAAAATATTTTGCACAAGAGGTATCCCATTGATCAATTATGTCACCATTAATTTTGTATTGTATAGTATAGTATAGTATAGTATAGTATTGTGTTGTATTGTATCGTATTGTATAGTATTATGTTGTATTGTATTGTATTGTATTGCATTGCATTGTATTGTATTGTATTGCATTGCATTGCATTGCATTGCATTGTATTGTATTGTATTGTATTGTTTTGTATTGTATAGTATTTCATTGTATTGTGTTGTATTGTATCGTATTGTATAGTATTTCGTTATATTGTATTGTATTGTATTGGATTCTATTGAATTGTATTGTGTTGTATTGTACTGTATCAAATTGTATCAAATTGTATCAAATTGTAACAAGTTGTATCAAATTGTATGGTTTTGTATTTTATTGTATAATATTGTTTTTGTATTGTTTTAAATTTTATCCAATTGTATTGTTTTGTTTTTCATTGTATAATATTGTATTGTACTGTTTTGTTTTGTATTGCCTTGTATTATATCTATTTGTATTTTATTATATTGTATTTTGCTGTATTGTACTCCTATTGATTAATCTTTCTTTTCTTTTAGGATTTGGAGCCAAAAGACAGAGCAGGGTTGCTAGGTGATGCATTTGCGTTGTCAAGGTAACTGGTTTCTGCATCAAGGAAAAAAGTCATATCTTTGACACTCTTTCCAAATTTCCATCGTGAATTCTTACAGCCAAAAATTTACTTGATTTAAAAAAAATTGCGTTTGATGTTGTTTTGAGACGCTGGCTGATAATATTAAATAACTGTCTCGTTGTGGATTGGTTAACGAGAACAATAGCTGGAACAATAGCCTAAACACGATCCAGCGCTCCGCCATATTTTTCACAATGCGATAAATTAAAGGGGGAATAGAAAAAATAAAAATTCCTTTGTTCTTATAGTCAATCGATGTCGTGACAGATTGCCTTTAACTTGTACTAGCATTAACTAAACAAATCAATTGCAGGTTGCTGCTAGTACAAAGTTTGAAAATGGCTTTAAAAAACCTCAACTCTTTTTCAATAAGGACTGGAGAAGCAATATTTGAACTTCCATGATTTTTCGACAATCTTGGTGCTTAAGAAAGAGGGCTGTTTCGTTTTTCCCCTGTCACTGCACTCATGTTTCGCAACTTAAGCTCTGTTGTCACAAATGTATAGAGGCATCAAAATATATTACTACCTCATTCATGAATTCCTTTTTATCACAATCTAATTTAAAAAATTTTCCGTCGTCTTCATCTTCGTGTTCCCATCGTCTTAACACCAACCCTTGAGTTAATTGAATAATTAATATTGCAGTTTTAATGTAGTTTACTTCTTTTGTAGTATACGAATAAAATTGAATTGAATTCAATGAATTGAATTGTTTGCCAAAACGATGAAGTTTGCCATTACCTAATGGAAATGGATTTTTTTCCAGAGCTGGGCTCCTCAGCTACCAAACGACTTTGAACCTGTTTGACTACATCGACAAGGAAAAGGACTATATTCCATGGGCGGCTGCAAATGCTGGGATATCATATGTTGGCTCACTATTCTCAAAGACAAGCAAAGCTGGAAGAAATTACCCTGTAAGTTACCATAAATTGCAAATCATTAAATTTGAACTCTCAAAGCTTTTACGTTACCAATAGAATGGTGATAGCATGATCTAACCGTTTTCCCACCTTAACTAAAGATGGCGTCAGTTACCATGGCGACCGAAAGTTTCACAATGATATTCAACCACTTTAAACGTATATCATTATTGCTTCATAGATGTGATAAATCTAGGGCAACCAAGAATGCCCATTTGAGTTCATGAATATTCCAGTGTCTGTACACCAACAGCCATTCAGTTTCTGTGATGTTTCTCCCTGATGCCATTTCTGAATTTCTCGCAATATCGACATTCCGAAGTATCTGCTTCCTGTAATATAGCCTGCATAAATCAACTTTATAACCTGTTTATTCCTTGTTATGAACCTGTATAACCTGTTTTCTAGCCTGTTTGTGTGCTCTTTGTGACTCGTGTCTCTTATAAACAATTAGATTCGATAGCAAGACATGCTCTTATACCATGCATCATTGCAAATTTTATTCAAATAGGACTGTATTTGGTCAAAAAGCTACGCAATGTTCTAGTCTCCGATTTTAAAGTCAATAAGCGATTTCACAGTTTTTGCCGCCATTATGAATTGGCAAAAATGGCGGACACGCAGCAAACGAGCAAATTACCGCAGAATTTCCAGTCAATTTTGTAGCTAGAATTGCTGATAAAATTAGGCAGTAATCAGCTAAATTAGAATTTAAATGTTCCTTTTTTACAATAAGCAACTCACAAACAGCGTTCCTTGTGATTTCACTGCTGACTTTGACCAGGCTGAAATCAGTCCCCTTTGACCTCTCGTACAAAAACTTCCGCTTTTCGATTCAAACCTTGGTGAAACTCGTTATTTCTAGCCTGTTTACAACCATCTTGAGTTGGACTCTCTTCAGAAATTCATTTGACGTCAATAAAACCTGTAAAAGACATCAAAACATCGTGACCACTTCTATGATCGTGACGCATGTTATTGATGGAGGATTCCCCTGTATAGCACGAGAGGCATATCTGCTGGGATGCCATACAGGGGGATCCTCCATTACATTACATGCGTCACGATCATAGAATTGGTCACGGTGTTTTGATGTCATATGACAACTATCAATATGAATAACATAATAGCTACAATAACTGCAATATTTATGCTTAATACAACTACTACAAGATTTATGGAAAATACAATTACCACGATACCTACAGATAATACACTAAAATAATATCCACATATGCTACAATTACTACGACATCTTTGGATAATACAATTACCACGATACCTACAGATAATACACTAAAAATGATATCCACATATGCTACAATTACTACGACATCTTTGGATAATACAATTACCACGATACCTACAGATAATACACTAAAATATTATCCACACATGCTACAAATACTAAGACATCTTTGGATAATACAATTACCACGATACCTACAGATAATACACTAAAAATAATATCAACATATGCTACAATAAGTACGAGATTTATGGAAAATACAATTTCCATGATACCTACAGATAATACACTAAGATATTATCCACACATGCTACAAATACTAAGACATCTTTGGATAATACAATTACCACGATACCTACAGATAATACACTAAAAATAATATCCACATATGCTACAATTACTACGACATCTTTGGATAATACAATTACCACGATACCTACAGATAATACACTAAAAATAATATCAACATATGCTACAATAAGTACGAGATTTATGGAAAATACAATTTCCATGATACCTACAGATAATACACTAAAATATTATCCACACATGCTACAAATACTAAGACATCTTTGGATAATACAATTACCACGATACCTACAGATAATACACTAAAAATAATATCAACATATGCTACAATAAATACGAGATTTATGGATAATACAATTACCACGATACCTACAGATATTACACTAAATGCTATATGCTACAATAACGTTGCTCGGTGTGCAGAACAGAACTGGTTTAAGTTGTTTTGTCTTATGTTGCGGGATACTATATAGGCAGAGCTGCATACACTTTTATTATAGCAAAAGACAGTTCCAAGCTGCGAATGGGAGCTTCATGCTTTATTCGATCAAATCACATTATGTGCTTATATACTATCTGCTGATATTCGGACTAGATTATTCTCTCTTATAACATTATGGGATTTAAAGGCAATCTGTCTCGTTGTGGATTGGTTAACAAGAACAATTGCCGGGACAATAGCCTAAACACGATTCCAGCGCTCCGCCATATCTTTTACAATGCGATAAATTAAAGGGGGACTGGAAATAATAAAAATCCCTTTGTTCTTATAACTAATCAACGTCGTGACAGATTGCCTTTAACATATGTATTAATGTCGCATTTGTATTAGGCCGTGTTTCTTTTATTTGTAGAAATATATCCAAAAGAAGATAACCCCATTGTACAATGAGCTGGGATTCAAAGAGAGCACTGACCCAAATACAAGGCATTTAGAAACGTGAGTATTTGCAGTCAGTTTGGAAACATGGGTCTTGAGGGAGTCGAGGGAAGATTTTTGATGGTCCCATGACAAACTATGAACAAAGTTTTGACGTTTCAGCAGATGCGCTCGAATCTTTGGGTGTCAAGGGAGGGTTTTTGATGGTCCCATGCTAATGTATCAACACAATTTTCAAATTTCAGCAGATTGGCTCGGGTGCCAAGAAGAGATTTTATCAGATAGGCTCAATCATTTGAGAGTCGAAGAAAGGTTCTCGATGGTCCCATGATAATAAATGAAAACAGTTCAAGAAATTTCAGCACAGAAGCCCAAACGTTGGGGAGTCAGGGAAGGGTTTTAGATGGTCCTATGCTAATACATCAACACATTTTTCAGATAGGCCCATACTTGCGCACCGTTTCATTTTATTTCATATATAGTCCTGCTTATTTGAGTGTGGATTATGCAAGTCCTTCTTAAGCCAGTCCACTTATCCTAGTGCACCGTATGCGAATCTAAGTACATAAAGTATGGCTAATGTTAGTCCGAATTGCAAGTTTGTCTTATCGGATTCTGATTTTTAAGAGTCTAACTTCAGCATACTTTTTTGATTGTAGTTACTTAAGGCTCATCATACTGGGTAAGGCTTGTGGAAGTGGCATGACTGCGTGCTTAAACAGGGCCAGTCAATACTTCAAGGACTGGATGCAGGATCCAGTAAACAAAACGTAAGTAATTATTCTAGATATCTCGATCTAGTTACCTTGTTGAAGGCAGTCAATAGATATAGAAGTTGCTCAAGCATATGTCAATCAATATTAGCCAATCGATGAGCGTGCAAATAGAATCACACTCAATGATTGGTCAATTTTTGATTGAAAGATGGCCTCGTATTTTTCGATTGCCTATACGTCCAACACACAATAAAAACACGAATATGTTTGAATTATGGAGGTTTCGACTTCCAAGAATCATTTTAATTTCCTACCATTCACACCTACGAGTTGAATTTTGCTCCCAAGTTGAGCTTTCAGCCAAAGTTCGTTTCAGTCATTTCCCTGTCTTCTTTCAATTCACGCCTTTAGAAGAAGATAATTTGCCCCCTTTACCCCAGAATGATGTTTGAATTGCACCAAAGCCATCATAGTTACGTTCGATAGCCGTATTTCAATGGAGGATGATCCGCATTGCTGAATGACCAAACGCTATTGATGTGTCAAGACTTTTGGCAGGCATAGAGTACCAAAGTGTGACGTCATCAAAAATATAGTTTTAGAATTTCTTGAATTTGGCCACATTATCTGAAAGAACGGCATAAAATACCTCTCAATGTGCAAAATCGGTTCGATATTTTCAAAATTGGACGAGATATGGCCAAGAAAAGACTTCGAGTTTGCTAACGGATTACTGTTATTTTGGCTCAGTTCATAAAGTTGTGAACCAAGATCAATTTACAGAGGTTTGACGTGGCAAGAGCCTGTGCTCATCTGGTCATATCTCAACCAATTCGTAATACCTTTACTCGATTTTGTAGATTTAGAGGTATTTCATGATGCTCTTTCAGGTTCTGGGATCAAAATTCAGAAATTCTAAAAATAGATTTTTTTGACGTCATCACTTCGGTACTCTATTGACAGCTACCTTCCCACCAAGGCATATCTACTTATCAGCGATGACATGCAACTTTAAACAACCATCTCTTCATTACACAGCGTTCCAGCAGATCTTCGTTCTTTGTCATATTTCTACGGGATCATGAACGGAGGAGAGGCTGAGTGGGATTTCGCTTTCAAACAATACCAAACCACAACACTAGGAACCGAGCGAATCAAACTGCTCTACGGAATGTCTGCTATCCAAGAACCATGGATGATTGAAAGGTATATATCGAACTTTCGTCAAGCAATCGATACCTTTTTAAGACATTATACGCAACAGAAAGCCGAAAATTACCCTATTTGATTGTTGCGAAAGTTCTTCCTCGGTAAAGTCACTTTTATTTGGTCTCTGGTCTTGAAAATTTTCAGGCAAGCCAAAACCACAGATATCTTTCAGGAAACTCGAAACTTTTTACTATCAATTTATCAGCCAGGCGGTAACAGGTCTAACTAATTACTAATACTTTGCATAAAGACTGGTTTTATTCAATATTTACAGTCCAAAAACCAATTTTTAAAGGTAGACTTGATTTTATCGTTACTTAGTTATTATCAATGTTTCGCTACACCAAACTCAGGTATTCAATATTTAGGCCATTATATACTAAATGTTGTACTCATGTACTGCGTTTTTTCCACTAATTGTTTTCCTTTTTCTCAGATATCTCAATTACTCCCTTGATGATACAAAAGTGAAGTCCCAAGACACGTCATACATATTCTCCTACGTCTCAAACAACAATCCGATTGGTAGATACTATGCTTGGTATTTCTTAAAAAGCAACTGGGACCGAATCAGGAAAAAGTAAGAATCGTTTACTTTATGCTGAAATCGAGGGACAATTCACCTTTGTATAAAGCGTACGAGATTGCCACGAAAACAAAAAAATTTTCAGATATTTTAGATAACACAATAGGATTTCCACTAAAGGTGTGCAAAATTCTCAAGGATTGAATTGCCCCTCGTTTGACATACAACAGCTTTTGTACAGTCGCTTTGATGTTCCAAGATGAAACTAACACCCCCTTTTACCCCTTCCCCACTTCCCCACTTCCCCCCCTTCCCCCCTTTCCCACTTTCCCACTTCGCCCCTTCCC